AAGTAGCAGACACTCACCAGACACACACAGGCAGCAACAAACCAGGGAAGGAAGCAAAAGAACGGCAGTGGAAGTAGAACAGCCGCCATGATGAGTAAATTCCAGGAGGTTCCACAGAGGGGAGCAGGAGAGGCGATAATTCCAACTGAGCAGCTCGGAGACCAACCCATGACTGAGCTGCACAGGTCTGGTCGCACTCATAAGAGTCCCAACTACTTGCGTGATTACATACAGTAGGCGGAACAGGATTGGGTGAGCTGGACGAGGTGGGGAGCGGTGTTAGATATTTACATATATGCCCTGATTGGTTGGTCTGTAGTGGCAGGAAATTGAAGAGCTGTCACTGGTTGCAGCCGTGGCAGCCTGGGGGTACAAAAGGAGCTGCCGGGGCTGCTGTTCTTTGTTCTGAACGATGTAATAAAGAGTTTAAACAGTCGGAGGCTCCAGTGTCTTCTCTCGCCCACGATTTAACATAATCAGTGGAACAAGTGGCCTCCAGAAGTTGTAAATGCTCCAGCACTGGATGTTTTTAAAAAGATGTTGGATAACCATTTGTCTGAAGTGGTATAGGGTTTCATGCCTAAGCAGGGGGTTGGACTAGACCTCCAAGGTCCCTTCCAACTCTGTTTTTCTATTCTAAATATAGGCAGTCCTTGATTTAGGACTATAATTGTGCCCAGTCCTGATTGGCTGTTGAGTGCGTAATCACAAGACCCTGAACCATTTTATGACTTTTTTGCAGCATTCACTAAGGTGACACAGTAGTTCTAAGCAAACCCTATGGTCATTAAGGAACCCCATTATTCACTATGGGACTCGGGGGTGGGGGTGGGGGTAGAAAACAGATTAAACAAAGATTTCCAGCAAAAAACATTATAAATAAAGGTCCCATGATCACCACAGGATAATGCAAATGGCCATGTGAACTGGTTACCAAGTGCCCAAAATGCAGTAACATAACTGCTTGGGTGCAGCCAGCAAAGCTTCAAATCCAGCTCATAAATATCTTGGAGTGGGAGATCTGTTGTAACGTCTAACTATGGTAAGTTGAGGACTACCTGTAGTAAAATAAAAACATGGCTGATCTCAAGAGAAGACCTCATCTTTCCTAGCAAGCAGAATCAACAAAGATAAAGCAGTTTGCTGCAGACTCTGATTTAATCTCTGTACAGATTATGTAGTTCAGCAGATTTCCAGAGTCAAGTATTTCTGGATCATTGGATTTGCTTCCAAAATTATAGGCCATGGTTCCAGATTGTATTAGATTCTTTTAAGCTTCTGTTATGGATTCAAATATCTTCTCTGATTAGTCCAACAGTTTGAACCAATCTTATTTTAACATCAATTGTGTTTAGTGCCGCTAACTTCCTTTCTTTGCAAGTACCGCATGTGAAATTTCACATCTTCTGAACTCTTTGGGTCTCTTCCAAAATCATTCAAAGGGCATAGCACTTTTCTGTACCCTGTCCTCTTTATACAGCCTCTTCCTTGAAGAAGAACAGTTCAGCTGCCATTTTCCTAAACAGTTTAACCTTTTCCTTAAAATATATACACATCTATTCCCTATTCAGAGTTGTTGGAAGGAAACTCCTGAGAATACCAATACCAGGAAAACAAACTGGATGGATCATCAAACAAATCAATCCAGACTTCTTAGTGAACAGAGGCTCAAATTATGGATCTTGTGCATAGTATGCAAAACTCCCTGGAGAAACCTTCAATTCTAAAAATGGTGGGAAGGAAAAAAACAAGAAAAGACTCAAGAGAAGGAGGGGGAGGGGGAAGGAAGGAGGGAAAGATGGAGAGAGAGAGAGAGAGAGAGAGAGAGAGAGAGAGAGA